GCCTTGGAAACCCAAAGGGGGTCGCTATGAGTCGGAATTGACTTGATGCAGTGAGTTTAGTGGTTTTTTTGGTTATCATGAACCCATGCCCATCAAGTTGATTCCGACTCATCACAACCCTATAGGATAGAGTAGAACTGCCCCATAGGGTTTCCAAAGTTGTAAATCTTTACAGAAGCATCCTGCCCCATCTTTCTGCTGTAGAGCAGCTGGTGGGTTCTAACCACTGACCTTCCGTTTAGCAGCTGAATGCTTTAACCGTGGTGCTATCAGAGCCCTGCTCCTTTTTCTAACTATAGGATATTGTATGTACAGGTTATTTGAGTCCACGTCAGAAGAAGGACCTGGCACTCTGCGTTCAAAAAAACTTGAGCCTCTGCCAACCGCGTGGAGCACAGTTCTCTGACACACGTGGGGTGTCCACGAGCAGGAATCGACTGGACGGCAACTGGTCATGCTGTCGTTAGGTGCCATGCAGTCCATTTCTACTCCTAGAGACCCCAGTTGACAGTGGAACTGCACCATAGGGGTCCCTCGACTGTCATCTTTACAGGCACAGACCGCAGGTCTTTCTCCAGAGGGGCTGCGGGTCCGTGTGAACTACCATGATGGCTGTTCTTAGTTGCCTTGAAGTGGATTCAGACTCCTGGCGCCCGATGTGTGCAGAGCGGAACGGCTCCATACAGTTTTCAAGGCTGTAACCTTTCAGAAGCAGACCGCTGCCTTCCAGGTACCTCTGGGTGGGCTGGGACTGGCAACTTTTCTGCCAGTAGTCAAACCCCTAACCATGTGCACTACTCAGGCGCAGTTCTGGATCCTTATTCATTTCATTGAGGGGCTCTGGTGGCACAGTGGTTAAGCACTTGGCTGCTGAAAAGTCGGCAGTTTGCACCTACCAGCCAGTCTGGGGGAAGAAAGATGAGGCAATCGGCTTCCTTAAAAATGACAGCCTTGGAAACCCTGTGGCGGTTCCACTCTGTCCTCTAGGGGCGCTGTGAGT